GGAACTTCACCAACCCCATGTTACCGAACCAGCAGCAGCAGTACCTGGCACGTATGGGCCTGTGGAGACCTGGCATGCACAACTACAACAACAACATGGTAAATATTACATAATCTTCTCACATGCACAACTATAACAACAACATGGTAAACTATACTTACCTCTTCTCACTTTGCGAATCTCTAGCTCTCTCTCCATCCGGTTTATTGTCTGTTGTTCCCCATAAAGAGGGTGAGACGTGCTTGCACACTGATGCTGGGGCTTGATGGTAGCATTTTACAGTGAATGTCAGCTGTAAAATGTATATATGTACCTTGTCAAGTTGTGAGGTAGCGTTTCTTGTGTTTTATATTGTTAATTAAGAAAGATAAGATTAGAGATAATCGGTGAAGAGCCTAATGCCAACAGTTTTTAAACATGTAAAAAGTACGCAATTCAGCCTATAGCTGCGATGCACTTTTGACCCGATCAAAATGATCAAATTAAACCANTCCCCCCCTCCCCCCTCCTCCCCCCCTCCTCCCAGCCCTCGCCCCTCCCCCCCTCCTCCATGCCCCCCTACAGCGGGAACTTCACCAACCCCATGTTACCGAACCAGCAGCAGCAGTACCTGGCACGTATGGGCCTGTGGAGACCTGGCATGCACAACTACAACAACAACATGGTAAATATTACATAATCTTCTCACTTTGCGAATCTCTAGCTCTCTCTCCATCCGGTTTATTGTCTGTTGTTCCCCATAAAGAGGGTGAGACGTGCTTGCACACTGATGCTGGGGCTTGATGGTAGCATTTTACAGTGAATGTCAGCTGTAAAATGTATATATGTACCTTGTCAAGTTGTGAGGTAGCGTTTCTTGTGTTTTATATTGTTAATTAAGAAAGATAAGATTAGAGATAATCGGTGAAGAGCCTAATGCCAACAGTTTTTAAACATGTAAAAAGTACGCAATTCAGCCTATAGCTGCGATGCACTTTTGACCCGATCAAAATGATCAAATAAACCAGATATCCAGGTAAAAAGATATGCAAAAAAAATTCACTCAAGCAACTGGATAAGTAGCATCCACTACCTTTTGTCAGTGACACTAAAATATAGACTGCAGGTTTATAAGCTTAAACTTTTGATTGATATGCAAATAAGTAAACCATTCATTCTTTCCTCCAACCAGCAGCAGCCCAAAGGCCCCTTCCCGTTCCCCCCGCCCCCATCCACCAATCAGAGCCCAGCATTACGGCCGCAGATGCAGCACGGCGCGCGCCCGTTCGGGCAGGGCGGGAACTTCCGACCGTGGGGCGGCCCGCGGCCCGTGTTCGACCCCACGGTACCGCCGCCTGGGTACGTCCCGCCCGCGGAAAAGGTTCGTTTATTTATTTGTTTATTTAAAGATCAAATGACACAAAAAGAGTCTGTAAAATACACAAAAGCATACATACAATATAGTCACTTGAAGTTGGTTTCAATCATGATGACTGAGAAATTGAGTTTGTATGGCCTTCTATAAAAGTGAATTTTTGAGACTTTTTCTTGAGCTGACATCACTGGGTGACATCAGCTCAGGAAAAATACAGAAACGCAAAAATGAAATGTAGAGATGCAAATCGTCTGCCAGTACTGGCTTGTGCTGGCTTTTCCAAGGCACAAAATTTCAAATGTAACAGGAGAACCGTGCATATTTATTGTAAATGTGTCTGTTACAATCAGTTAGTCATATTTTGGTGTCATGAGCACTTCAATAACACTATTCCATTCTACAGGTTGACCCTCACAAGGCGACGATAGACGGGGTGATGGAGAGGGTCGTCTGGGAGCTGAAGGAAATCATGAGGAAGGACCTGAACAGGAAAATGGTCGAGTCCTCGGCCTTCAAGGCCTTCGAAGCCTGGTGGGACATGGAGGAGGAGAAAACCAAGGTAAATTTTTGTTTGTTTATTGTTTATTTCAGTCTCGATGGCCTATAGTCATAAGTATACTCATAACATGACATATGACACAAACACATCTAAAAAATCATAAAAGATGTACAAGGTAAAGAAACACAAACACTTAAAGTAAGGTTCGTTCTCTGATTAAAGAAAAAGGACCCTTCCAATGGGGCACAGCATACATTTACACAGGACAAGACATGGTTACATTTAGTCTGACTATACAACAAAAGGTGGACAACAGTCAAATAAACTCCGATACGTCAAAACAAAAAACAAAAAGCATATCCATAAATCAAAGTCATCAAGGTAATCAAGGTAAAGAAATCCTTAAAAAAACACTTAAAGTAAGGAAGCCAAAGTAAAAAAACACAAACACTTAAAGTAAGGTTAGTTCTCAGATTAAAGAAAAAGCACCTGAACAGCAAAATGGTTGAGTCAGTTTGGTCTCTTCCCTCTTAACCTTCAGCCTGCTAAGGCAGCCATTTGGCACCAAATTTGTAATGTTTATGGGGTTCAGCAGCAGGGAGAAGGTTAAAGGAGAGGGTAAGATAAACGCAAACACTTAAGGTCCAGGTTCTGGGCTTTAAGAAAATCTTCAAGGGAAGGGAAAAACCAAGGTTCTGTCTAAAAAAGGGAAGGAAACAAACTTCTGCAAATCCTGAGCTCATGTACAGAATTTATGCACGTCCTGTTCTCATATAGCCAATACTATAGGCAGCCTGCACACTTTCTTAAGACATTTTCTTTCTTCTTTCTTCAGGTTCCAGTCAAGTCTGAAGAGAAGGACGAGGACAAGGTCGTGGAGCCGGAAGTCAAGGTCAAACCGAAGCCGGCCAAGTCTCTGTTCGAGCAGCCGGCAGCCATTCCCAGCATCTCCAACATGGACAGCTTCAGTCCGTTTGGGCCCTCAGGGTTAGGGGGCCTTGGTCTGGGCATCAGGGCAGCCATGCCTCGCATGCCTTCATTTAAGGTAAGACTCCTTATGTGGAGTGTCTTAAAGCTAAGATTGTACTTCTTCTTTGTCTGTGTGGCTTCTTACTAATTTCAGACTTTACTTTCGTGCCCTATTATGCCTTCAATGGAACATTCCTTATCTTGAGTGTCTGGCTCTGAGAGCTTAGCTAAATCTTTCTCGCTCAAAGTGACATCTTGAATTTTATTTTCTTGCCATGTATGTCAAGGTAAGGCTCTACATCTAGAGTGTCTAAAATCTCTGCTTAATTGTAATATTTTGTTTTGTTTTCTCCAAGAGGCATGTTTGACATTTTTTGCTAAACTACAGAATGTTAATGTTGCTACAGCAATGGCAAAGGTCATTTTCCTCTTTCTGGAACCAACTCTTGGCCCTAAAATGGTACTTAACTCGTCATTTTCTTGTTGCGTACAGATGAAAAGAAAACCCCCGGACTCCCCTGCGGCTGAAGATGGACTCCCCCGGAAACGGTCCCGACTGGCCTCTCCCTCCATGGACGATGGGTCTGCGTCAGGTGAGGCTCAGGACTCTCCCAGTGTTGGACTGGAAACATGTCCTAGTTTGGCCACACCAATTTGATTTGATCTTTACACTTATTACAGTGGCAACAAAAAAGCTTGTGACAGCTGTATATGTTGTCTTCAGAGCACAAAGTCAACATACTACAATGTAGGCAGGGCAATTTGATAATTTAAACAATGAATTTTCAGCTTAATCAAATCATTGCATTGATATGTATCTATCAAAGTGTCCAAGATGGAAATACAGTAGTTGACTTTCCTCAATTGTTGGTAGCTAAATATGTACTTTTTGGGGTTGATTCAGAACCTGAATGGTAATGTACATTGCCTTTTTTTTTGCCAATCAAAAAAAAAAAATGTATCATGATGTTAGGAAGATTGTTTAATGTTTGTTTGTATTTCCACACATTGGGATGCTGACAAAGAGGACATGTTGACCCAGGAGTAGAGCTAGCATGATGTTGGGATGACGTGTTAAACTTGTTTGTTTGTTTGTTTGTTTTTTCTAGATTCAGATGCAGACAAAGAGGACATGTTGCATCAAGGCTCTGACTAGCATGAAGTTGGGATGACCTTGTTTGTTTGTTTGTTTGTGTTTCCACAGATACAGGATGTTGAACCAGGACTCAGACTGCCATGATGTTGTGTTAGCCTTGTTTATTTGTGTTTCCTAGATTCGGATGCTGACATGAACTAGAACTGGCATGATGTTGGAATGTATCTATACCTGTATCAGTATAGCAGGCATAGCCGCCCTTCAGTGTTACACACCTGGATGATGTGTTAACCTTGTTTGTTTGTTTCTCTCATAGACTGTGATGCTGACAAAGAGAACATGTTGAGCCATAACTAGAACTGGCGCGATGTTGTGTTAACCTTGTTTCTTTGTTTTTTCTAGACTCAGACGCAGACAAAGAGGACATGTTGAGCCAGGACTCTGACATGTCGCGGCACGGCACACCGACGCTCCAGCGGGCGCGCAGCCTGGACAGCGAGGGGGACGACGCCCGGGTCGGACCGCCAAGACAGGAGGAGCAGCGGAAGGGCGTGATCGAAGATGACGAAGATGAAGAGGATGAAGAGGAGGAAGATGATGACTTTGAGGAAGAGGAGGCAGCAGAAGCAGAGGGTACTTGTTCGTTCATTTATTCGTTCATTCATGTATTTATGTTTACCGAAGGAAAACATATTGTTTTTGCTCTGTTTCTTCTACTTCTTCTCCAAACAGATAAGGTCAATGACCTGGACCAGACGTCTGTCCCCATGGTAACTGGTGCTGCAGTAGAAACCCTGTGGTGTTGGGTTACATTATGTAGCAAGTGGCAGGACAGAGGGGCTGGTCCAACAGAGGTTGGAGGGGCTGGTCACCACAATACAGTACTGTATGGAGCATGAAAAGTAAAACTGTTATATTTGTTTCCAGCATCCATGATGAAGAGGTTTCAGATGTTGATGATGATGATGTCGATGATATTTTTGTGTTCCCAGCCTCTGATGAAGAAGAGGAGGAGGACCTGGAAATTTCAGATGATGGTATTGATGATGATGATGTTGATGATGTGGATGATGATGATATTTTTGTGTTCCCATCCTCCGATGCTGAAGAAGAGGATGACCTACAGGTATCAGATGATGATGTTGTGTTTCCAGCCTTAGATGATGAAGAAGAGGACCTGGAGGTGTTGGATGATGTTAATGATGATGTTAATGATGATAATGATGACGACTATGATGATGATGATCTTGTGTTTCCAGCCTCCGATGAAGAAGAAGAAGAGGACCTGGATGTATCTGATGACGAGGATGAGGCTGATGATGAGAGTGAGGGGAGTGAAAGTGGGGACGACTCCGACTCTTACGTCAGCTCCTCGGATGAGGAGGAGGAAACTGCAGCAGACGTCACGGAGACGGAACGGTGGGTCTTCTTCTCGGAGCTCAAGTTTCATGTCTTGCCTTTTTACAAAAAGAACTTTCTTAAACTTAATTGGCAAATAATAGCAGACATACACATTTTTGACATCTGAAATTCCTTGCTTACTTTTTTGATTGTTGTTGATTGTATTGCACTTTGGTGTTCCTGTATTCTTGTCGTCTTCTCAGAGAGTTTCACCTCCTTTAGTCTTACCGATTTACAAGAAGAGAAATCTTTTTTAGCAAATAGCAGACACATATTTTTGACCTCTGAAATTCTTTGCTCACTGACATTGTTTGAAATTCTGTTCAGCCTGGAAATACATAAGCCTGCAATGCAAAATAAATTGAGCAATTGATGAGTTCTCTAAAGAGTCAGATGTTTTAGATAACATTTGTCCACTGTCTTTCCTTAGTGACCAGAAATGATTAGAAAATGTCTTCAGAGAATGTACAATTGCTTTATGTATTTTGTATGCCTATGCTATTTGTACACCTTGTTGTTCCTGTGTTTCTCTCCAGTGAGTTCAGTGAGGCAGAGGACTCAGAGCAGGTACCAGACTCTGACACAACCCCCCACCCCCTGGGGCAGTCTCCCCACCCCCTGGGGCAGACTCCCCACCCCCCCTCAGCCGAGCTGGGACCAGACGCCGCAGGGCCCAGGGTTCTGGTGTCACCAGTCCAGGAACAGACTCACAGGTACTGGGATTCCCTTCATGTTCACAGTACCAAACTTTCATGGACTGAGAAAAATGGACATGCAGGAAAAAGAAAGTCTGCGAATTATTTTTTATTTGTTATATATTTCACGGGAAAAAAGTGACTGAAAAGTATGAACTTAAAAAAGTAAATTGAAATTAGGATATTATGCAGTATGTTGTGCAGTCAGGTGATTGATGTTGGCTTGTTCTTAGATCCTCACAATGGCAAATATGCATTTCCTAGTTTTGTTGTTGTTATCTACATCTATTTTGTACTGGGCCAAACCCCACATGGGGCATCCCACCCAGGGATTTGACAGATGCGGCCAGTGGAGTGAGGATGCTCCGTAGAGTGATAAAAAAATAGAGGGGAAAAAAACTGAAGTGATAGTCAAATGGTGTTCATAACTTATAACAGTGCTCAGTTATAATGGATGGGTTTTCCATGTCTGTCCTTTTCTGTTCTCCAGCATTCAGCCGCCTCCAACCCTGGCTGCTCGTAAACAGGGCCTAGCAACCCCGGAACACGCCTACAGCAAACAGGCTACCTCGCCCATCCTCCTGTCACCACGGTTACCGTCACCACGGTTACCAACCGTGCTGTCCCCGCCCCTGATCAGGACAGACGTAGCGGCCGGGGAGGACGTCGTCAGGTCCGGGCTGGATCCCCACCTTCAGCTCAGACACCTGCGCGGCGTTGTCCCCGTGGGGCCTGCCGGACCGGAGGACTCGCCCGGCCGGCCCGCGCTGCAACTTCCAACGGAGAGGAGTGCGTTCGGGTTCATGGCGGACGCAACGAATGCGGTCTTACCGCCGCCGTCGTCGCCATTCCCCCTGGAGGACCTACCGCGTACGCCAGGCGGTAACCTCGACCTCCCGAGAACTCCCGGTCGCGGGATGACCCTGCAGCCGGCCGCCATCCCGGGGTTCCTTGCAGTGACGCAAGCCGGCGCGACGTCCACGACGTGGCGCGGCGCCCCGCCGGTACCGTCCTTACCTCCTCTCCTCGCGCAGTTCGCAGACATCGTGACTCACGAGGCCATGCAGAGGGACGTGGTCGCTCCCGAGCCTCCCGTTGTCATGACGACGGCTACGGCAACCACAACAACGCCTCCGCGGCTTCTTGCTTCTCAGGGGAAATTTTCCATTGCCAGTTTACTCTCACCTCCTCCTCCACAACAGCAGCAGCAACAGCTGCCACCGGCCAGGCCACATCCAGGTCTGCCGCTTACCACGGAGGAGCATCTACGGATGCTGCAGGCAAACAGCCAGGTCCCCAGATTCCAGTCACCACCCAGACCGGGCGCAGGGATGCTGCAGCAGCCACAGCCTCATCCCGCACACATGTTGCCAAATCAGAACGAGCTTTTCTCACCCGCGAGAGCAGCGGCGAACAATCAATCGAACGTCGAGCTTTCGCTGTTGTCGCCGTCGAAGCAGACGGTCGCGGACTTGCTCGCGGCGAGCAGAACTCTTGAAAGAGACGTCGTCTTGGACGTGGAAGGAAGCGACTCGGAAAAGACGGAGACGTCTTCAGAGCCGGAAGTTTCTGTGGAGGATCAGGTGGAAGAGAGAACGGTAACGACAACAACGCCAAGGCAGAGAGTCTGTCCGTACATGCTGGAGCATAATTACGCGGCGCCGCTACCCGAGCATAACTACGCTGCCAGGCAGCCCCCCTCCCCGGCTAAACCTCTCACACACAAGCAATCCAAGACTCGCATAACAGAGGACGTTCCTGTAGTAGCAGCGCCCCCTGTCTGTTTGCCGGTGAACATCAAGACAGAACCTGTGGAAGAACTTCCCAAAGACAAGGAGAACGAGGCGCCGATCGAAGTCAGCATTCCCTCGGTCGACTTGGTCACCACGGAGACCAAGGAGGAACCCAAGCCGCATCGGAAGACGTCTTCAGAGAAGGACAAGGAGATAATTCTCAGAGACTCTCAGGTGACGAATAAGATCAAGGAGGAGGAGCTGCGGAAACCAGAACCTCCGAGGTTTGATCCGAGGGACAACCTGATGGAGATGGAGGTTTGTTTGTTTGTTTGTTTATTGGCATGTAATCAAAGTAATAAGATAGACATAACATAACAAAAGAAGAAATGCTGGGGGAAGAGAAATAGGTGATTCTTGAGATCACGTTTGAGGCTAATTCTTGATGATAACTTTTAGGTGGGGAGGGAGATTGTTATATTTACCCAGGGAAAACATATTGTTTTTGCTATGTTTCCTCTTCTTCCGTTCCTAAACACTGACCTCTGAACTGGCCAATGACATGATTTGTTGACGACTCTCACCATGGTGACTGGTGTTGGGTTACATAATGTTGCAATTTTATAGTAGAAGGGATTTAGACTCCTGTCTGACCATATATATGAATGTGTTTGAGTAAGAATTAACAGAGCAGACCATTTGCGAAGGTTATTATACATTTGCTTTGCAAATGTTACTTTCCTAGTTTCAATGTGTTACACATTTGTTGTCCAGGTTCTGTATGAGTTCCTGAAGACTGGGATTGACCTGGAGGATGTGAGATATCTGCAGAGCAGCTACGACTCGCTTCTACAGCAGGACAACAGCGGAGTAGACTGGCTCAACGACACACACTGGGTCTACCATCCTCATATCCTTTCATTTATTTATAATATTCATTGGTTTGGCTGAACATATAGCTAAGGCTGCCCAACTACCATGTAGCTGTTGTTCCCCTTGGGGCAATACAGAGGTAGGACATGAAAACAATAAGACTTAAGTATCTAAGTTAAAAAGTTCTGAAAAAGTTCAAAAAAAGTTCTGAAAAAGTACAAAATTTACATAGTTACCTCAAAATATTAAGAGTTATTTTTTTTTACAAAAAGCAAAGTGGTGCTTTATGAGTAGTCATTACATGGCATGACAAAGACTGACTTAGCTGTAGAAGTAGTGTTGTACCGAGAGTCATCTTTGTGTGGTTCCCTACTATAGTACCTCTTCAGCACAAGCCCAGGTACTGTCAGGGCTCGAAATTCATTTTTTGAAATAATAATGATTTTTATCTAGCATGTAGATGTTAAGAATATGCTGTATACAACTATACATTTGATATCTTTACGTATGTAAACCTACAAAAATATTTGGGTGCACCAGTGCACCCACAAAAAAAATACCCTGCATAGCTCCAAATCTGGGTGCACTAATGTGCACATGCACCCAGTATTTCAGCCCAGGTACCCTCCTTAACCCTTCCCACCGACCAGAATTCCCAACCCTCCCCGCAAGCGGCGGAAGGACGACCCGACCTTGGGAGAGCACAAGACGGGCTGCGCCAGGAGCGAAGGCTTCTACAAGATCTCCTTCAAGGAGAAGACCAAGTACCTCCACCGGGCGCGGCTGGCAAGTGTCGTGGAGAAGCCAGAGGACGATCTCATGGTGGGTTGGGTCTTCCTGGAAATTCTAAAATTTACATGGGAAGTTGTAGAATCTTCCAGGAAAGTGGTAGTCTTCTTGTAAACCTCTTTTCAGAAAATTTGAGGCTTGGCGGCAGTTGCCCACATTACACTGAATGATTTGATACACCAAACCTTTGAACATAAACATTGTTTAATGATGATGCTCCTACTCTACTGCAATCACCTCAATCCTTGGTTGATAACTCTGGTACTTGAAGGCTATTTCTTGTTCTCTTCTGGGCTGGTATTAGGTACTTAATAGTTTGGAAGTCCACCAGTTTATTAGTCATTTTGTACATCATGCATAGTCTGGACATTCTTCGTTTGTCTTCCAGTGACACCCACTGTAGGTTTCTTTTCATTTCCGTGACACTAGCACCTCTTTCGTAGTATAAGTTGTAAGTGCAGAATCTTGCAGCTTGATTCTGTACCCTTTCCAGTTTATCCTTTTCTTTGTATACTGTCACGGCATATGTATACTTGATGTGGCACTGTGTATAATTATGCTATTTTGATTCCTAAACTTGTATAAAATTTCCCCAGAACTATCGTAGACTGGAACTCGTCACCAAGCACAGTTGGGGCACAACTCCTGCAATTAAATGTGCAAAGATTGAGTGTAACAAGTCTTTCGGTGTTATATTGCTAGATGCCACCATGCTGTGTGTCTGCGAAGGGCGGTTATACTGGCTATACTGATACAGATAAATGTTGACAGTGTTTTAACATAATGTTTTTCTCTGTCCACAGGAGTCTCAGAACAAGGCGAAGCAGGCGACACAGTCCTCACGAGAGGCGCGGTCTAACCAGAGACGACTTCTCGCCAGCTTCGGCGCCTCGTGTGGCGACATCAGCGACCTTCTCAGGTTCAACCAGCTCAAGGTCGGTCAAGGACATGTATTATCACCTCCACCTTCACCAGGGTGTAATGTTACTTCTTCCTGCATGGTGGCACTGCTACAAGAACGATTTCCTGAATTTAGACTAAATTAAATGTACTCTTCCCTGACAGTCCATCTCAAATATCAGTTCAACCAATGATAACATGACAAATAGCTGCTCGACCAATGAGAGAGTGGCTGCATGTTGGTATAATATTTGCATTCTTATGTTTTGAACGATTACTGTATCTTTATGGCTGTTATTAGACTTATCCTTTCTTCCTCCATGCACCACCAGTCCTCTTAGGAGGAAGTTCCATGCTGAAAGCTTCTTTCCTAGAACAACACTATGGAACAAGCTACCACGTGATTGTTTCCCCAATTATTATACTTTTCAAGTCTAAGGTCAACAAACATCTGTCCTCACTGGCTGTACAGTAACCCAAAACATTTGAGTGGCTCCCATGAGCCATATTTTTTGGGTGTAATGCTACTTCAATCTGTAAGGTGGCGCTGCTACCAGTACTAGAACAAACACCTTATTCTCCCCTCACAGTTCCGTAAGAAGCAGCTGAGTTTCCGTAAGAGCCGTATCCACGACTGGGGTCTGTTGTGCAATAAAGTTTGTATCATCAGGGTGTAATGCTACTTCTTCCTGCCAGGTGGCGCTGCTACTAGTACTAGAACAATTTGTAGATGTCAATAAACTCAAACTCCTAATTTTCTCTCTCCACAGTTCCGTAAGAAGCAGTTGAGTTTCCGTAAGAGCCGTATCCACGACTGGGGTCTGTTTGCGCTGGAGCCGATCGCGGCTGAGGAGATGGTGATCGAGTACGTCGGACAGTGCATCCGCCAAACCATCGCTGATGAGCGCGAGAGGAGGTGATCATTGAAACTTTTTTTTGGTTTAAAGTTAAAACTTTAGGTCCAACGTATAATCTCACCTAGAGCTTTCGACCAGTTACTCTGGTCTTCCTCAGTAGACTGACCCAGTGAGACTTGTCACTTGGCTTCTCTGAAGTGTGACGTTAACACTGGGTCAAAGGTATCTGGTAGACGATGTCAGCCTCCTGTTTAGAGTTAAAACTTTCGATCCAACACAAAAAAATTCTCTCACCTAGAGCTTTAGACCAGTCACTCTGGTCTTCCTCAGTAGACTGACCCAGTGAGGCTTGTCACGTGGCTTCTCTGAAGTGTGACGTCAACACTGGGTCAAAGGTACATGTATCTGGTATCTACTGAGGAAGACCAGAGTGCATCCGCCAAACCATAGCTGATGAGCGCGAGAGGAGGTGGGAATGGGTTCTCTTACTAGTCTTAGTTTTAACTACTTACAAACTCTCAAACTTTATTCAATCAACTTGGCAGTCTTGAAGTCAACTGAATTGTGATTTAACATCTTGTTGATTAAAAACAAACATTCTATCAGTTAAAAGTATTACATTACATAATGATTAATTAACATTTAGTGAAAGTGCGGTGATGAATCACACCTTTTCATACGCATTACTTTTTTTTATGGACATAAATAAACCTGACAGTTTAATTTGATTCCATTCAGTAAATAAAATTGGTTACTAGGCTTTTATTTTACAGGATCTATTTTGCTACAGTCACAACTATACAAATACATTGAACAACAACAATATACATTTAAACTGAGTTGTAAAAGTCAATGCTGTTACCACAAGTCTGTCTGTTGTGTAGTGTGATAACACAAGTTGTGTTGTTCAGGTATGAAGAGCAGGGCATCGGCAGCAGCTACCTGTTCCGGGTGGACCATGACATGATCATTGACGCCACCAAAAACGGAAACCTGGCCAGATTCATCAACCACTGCTGTAATGTGAGTATAAAGCAGTTCTTCGGTTCTTGGACTTGAATTTTTTTTGGAATTAAAGAAGATGAAACTGTATCTTGTGCTTGTGTGTGTGTCTGTGTGTGTTCATGTACAATGTATGTGTGTGTGTGTGTGTCTTTCCTGCATGCACATGTGTATGTGTCTTCCTGTTTGAGTGAGTGAATGAGTGTGTGAGTGAGTGAGTGAGTGAGAGAGAGTAAATGAGTGCTGTACATGTGTGCAAGAAACTCTCAGCATGCCAGTCTAGTCTAAAATGAACCCTCTAGCTAGACTGTTCCATGTATTTGTGTGTTTATCTTCATGCTTGAACATGTATGTGTGAGTGTGAGTGTGAGTATGTTTGTATCTGTGCAAGTGTATGCCTAAGCATATATATGTTTCTCTTTCATGTGTGTGTATGTGTGTATGGTATCTACATGTATGTGTGTATACATGTATGTGTGTCAGTTTTTTAAAGCATTATGTATCTGTGTGTGGGATTGTGTATAAGTAAATGACTGCTTGAGTGCAAGAAACCCTCAGGCTGCCATTCTAACATGAACCCCTGTTCCCTGCCTCCTTCCAGCCCAACTGTTATGTGTTATTGTGTGTGTATGTATCCTACTGCATGCATGTGTGTATGTGAGTGAAGGAGTGTGTGAGTGAGTGAGAGAGAGAGAGAGAGAGTAAATGAGTGACTGCATGTGTGCAAGAAACTCTCAACATGCCAGTCTACCATTCACTCCTGTTCTTTTTTATTGTCTATCTCGTTTATCTTATTGTCATTTAAGATAAGATAAAATCATATTATCAGTGCTTTAGCTAAAAGATAGGCCACCTAATGTATGTATGAAGCTGATTTTATAGTGTCAAAGGTTTTAATACAGTAATGTGTGAAGACCTCTGAGAGGTTGTGTGTGATAAGTTTGTATGAAATATGCAATTCAGCCATACTTGGCTGCAATGTATTTTATCAAGTAAACCATTCATTCATCCGTTCATCCATTCATTCATTCATTCTGCCTCTCTCCAGCCAAACCGTTACGCCAAGATCATCACCGTCGAGGGCTACAAGAAGATCGTGATCTACTCCCGCCGAGACATCGCGGTGAACGAGGAGATCACCTACGACTACAAGTTCCCCATCGAGGACGAGAAGATCCCGTGTCTTTGTGGCGCTGAGAACTGCCGCGGAACCTTGAACTAGGAACAAAAACTTCCGGGTAAAGTTCCGAGAAACTGCAAGGTCTCTCCTTCCAGCTTAACCTGAACAACTTATCCTCGGCTTGTTTGGTTGCTGCAAAAACGGTCATGAAACCTTGAACTAGCTACAAAAACTTCTGTACATCCTAACTGCGACTTCTCTTCGTCCTCAGAAATCCAAACAACTTGTCCTGGGTTCGCTTGGTTGCTGAAAGAAAACTGCCGCAGAAGCTTGAACTAGCAAGGAAAACATCCGGGTAAAGTTCGGAGAGACTGCAAGGTCTCTCCTTCCAGCTTAACCTGAACAACTTGTCGCGGGTTCGCTTGGTTGCCGCAGAAAACCGTTGCGAAAGCTTAAACAAAAAAGAACTTCAGGACATCCGAACCACGATTTCTCCTATATTAGCCAGAACAACTTGTCCTTGGTTCGTTTGGTTGGCATATATATTCTCACTTCTCTTCTAAACGGCCAGAAAAAAATGAGACGTTCTTTTACAACTGAGCAGACTGTGCAGCGCTGCAGCCAATTACAGTTGCTGACTTTTCCCGTTCCGTTGGAAGAACAAAAACTCGAGAGCCAACAGAAGTGGACAGCGGAAAGACCATAACACGAAGAGTTGGACGCGTGTGATCTGCCCAGCCAGCTGATTGGTCCATCTCCGGTAACCTTGGTTACAGGACGAGTAGAACATCAGCCGCTATCCTCACTCCAAGAGTTGAAGTGAGATGAGATAAAATGTGTTTGCTCAGACACACATGAAGAGATATAGATATATTATATATATATATATTTTCGCTGTTTGTGTTACAGTCAGACAAGAGGACTATACAGTATTGACTTTGTTAGAGGATGGGTAGAACTGGCTTTCCTGTGCAGATGTGTCCGTGTGTCCCACGTTAGATGTAGAAGGCCAGTCTTGATGCCCATGTACATGTATGGGGCATAACTCTGTGGAACTTGTAAATACTGTTCGCGTACTTCAGATGTCATATTTCTGATGAGATTTCCTCAATTTTTGAATGTTTACAAGTATTTTGATACCCTATGATCAAGAACTTAATGGTTAAATGTGACCTTGGTAGTATATGACCTTGACAGGATTTCACCTTGGCAAGTTATGACCTTCAGAAGATACGATCTCAGCAAAACGGGTCATTGCAAAACTTGACCTTGGTGAGTCATGACCTTGACTTGACCTTGGTGACATTTGACCTCGGTGAATTTGACCTTGGTACAGCTCCAGTTTGTTGGTTCTGTGAAGCAGCACCAGTGAAACACCACGTGTGCCTGAAGTGTTCGATAACATGTACAGACGGACTCTCGGCTCAGTTTTTATATTTCTTTACCGAATGTTGTTGTTGTCAGATGTGAACTACAGTAAATGGGAATGGAATCGGATGTGGTAAAATTGTCCAATTTCTAATCAGCGGGGCTGCATTTTTCCGCCGCGCTTCTGTCGGACCCTGTTCAGTACCAGAGAACTCCGCAGCTGGAGTTTCGGGGTCTTGTGCTGTTGTTATGCGAGACTGAACGCAAGGTTCCGGCCCGGAATATGAGGAAACAGCCTGTAAAATTTGCTAAAGGCTCGGTGCTGAGGAATAATTAAGCACCGTTGTTGTTAGCTAAACCGTGAGGAAATGAACCATTTGTACAGACGTGATGTATTATATGTTCTCTGTACAGCATTAAACCAAATTTCCTATTACACAGAAACTCAAGATGTGTGTGTGTAAATTGATTTGCAGTTGCACACTAAAAATAACCACGTGCCAGCCAACCACCTGACATAGCCAACCAGCCACAAGTTGCAAAATGCTCCTGCTCAGTTTGTTATAGTTGTAATCAGCTCTGAGAATTTAACGTAATTCGTAATCGGCGGTGAAAATTTTGCGTAATTCGTAATCACTACCCCCATGCAGGCCCTCTTGAATAACTTGTTACATCTTACCTTTGCACATCTAACTACATTGTTCAGAGCTGTCTAGTGAGGGTGCAACTACTGTATATTGTGGACACACAAGCAAACATACATGCACACACACACAACACTGCCTCGATTTTCATAGCCTCCGTAGCAGGCTTATAGAACTGGGGGTTTGGTGGTCTTCGGCTGTTTTCTGATTAGCCCAGTTATAAAACTGGGGTAATTCAACCAGGCCGGCTATGTTGTCTATATGCAATCAGAAAATAGCACACAAAAGCTCCCAAAGACCATGAAGACCCCCAGTTTTTGGCATGCTATGGAGGCTACATTTTCACAGGTAAAAAAAAAAGAACACACTACTAGTAATTTGTTGTAGCACCATTTTATTCCCTACAAGTCTCCCGTCTTGGAGAAGAAACTGACAGAAGTGCACTTGTACTGTCACAGAAATCTTAACATATGGTATCTAGGTCAATGCCACAACGTCTTATCACAATTCCCACTACTTCTGGCTTCTTCGAAGAAGCAAGATGAAGAATAAGAACACGAAAGACGTTTGAAGGATTGCAGTGGCAATTCCAAGACTCTGATTAACTTTGAAGACTCCTTAAGTCTATTTTATTCATTGTCTTTGGAATCATTCAACTCAGACTATATATATAAGGCTAGAACATTGCATTGGTGCAAACAGATCTCGCTTAATTCTCTCAACACATTCGTACCGCAAAGTTACACTTTGTTCTTCTTACGCTAGAAAAAAAGTCTACATTTCAGAGCTATATTAGATCAATGCCTATAAAACATATACAAGGAATTCTTTATTTTAAAATTAAGAAAAAGCCAGGAATCCCGAGCAAACAATGTTAGAACTTATAGAAGAAAACTGCCTGCTGGTTATTGATGAGTTAATTGATTCCTACGTTAGTTAATGATTGAAACCTGATTCGAAGTAAACCCTAACTCTAGCTAGTAATTACAGAGCAGCACAACGTGGGACAAACGTGCAGTTATTTTTATATCGTTCTACAACAAACAACAAAAATCATTCCAATGGGACATTATATCAATACATCAAAATACACTTTTTCTTCTTTTCAAAAAGGGGCTAGTCTATGTATTAGTGTCCCTTGTATCCAGTGGGATAACATATTGGAACAGGTCTGATCCCTTTTGGCTGCGTTTAACAAATTTCAAACTAATAAGAGAAACATCTAGTGTCTGGAATAGCACCATACATGTTGATGACATTTTTTTTTGCTTTGACTATATAACAATAACAAGTTACAGTAGTAATGTTATGTAAATCTACTAAAAGGGGACTTTTCCACATTTGTTAACAAGTTAGTTTGTTAGCTTGACAAAACATCGGAGGATCTAACTAAAATGGAGGTGTATGTCTACGTTTAGTTCCAAAGGGAAGAAAAACTAGCTGGGGACAGGGGTTAGGTGGGATTTAACGTTACATCCTGAGTGATGTTACAGAGTTAGATGTGTCATGTTTGAGGACATTACTATATATAATATACCCTGGGTGTACAGTATTTAACACTTGATTAGCACCAATTGTTTTTAAAACCAGAACAGAACACAAAAACAATGAAAATGATTCTTAAATGTCGACTTTGTGTCTATTAAAATTGATATCAGTAGAATCAACAACGGAGATTGGAACAGTTATCATTTAATCACTCAATGGCTTCTTCGTTACAGTTGTTACTGATGGGCTGCAGTGCGAATGTACGTCGCCTGGCGGCGTCCCTACACCGTGTGCAAGCTATACTGGCCAAAGAACGATCCAGGCATCTAACTTTACAATAACTTACTAGTTACACCCAACAAATCAAGCAATTATCTGATGTCTATCTCTCGGCATTACGTAAGGCGGAGCGAGGTCGCGGTTTTATTTTTGCCGTGACTCCGTCGGAATGTTGCGGGAAAACTAAACCAGCTGGACGGGGGTTGTCTGGGTCCCGAGTCCCGTCCGAGAGTTTTGGCTGGCTCCGGCGCGACAGAGAAGAGATCGAGCGGCTTCCCGCCCTGTTCCTGTTAGGCCATGTTGATTTGATTATGTGGATGACATCCACGCGCGCACGAATTTTCGGCCGTTTCAAAAAAAAAAGAAGAAGTTTTCAACTATACTGTAAATCGTACAAAACAGTTGCAAAATGAGCAAATGTATACCGTAAGTTGAAATAAAAATAAACATTGAAAAACGATACCAATGTCGTAGAATGGCAAAATCAAACGAAAAGACGAAACTGTAAAGAAATGATTTTGAAGGGTAGATTACTCGCCGTACCAACCTTCATGACCACGTAGATGTCATAACGAAAGCAACTTTTTTTTTGTTTTGGCCAAACTTTTTTTTATTCGCACGCGCGCATCAGTTTTGGGGTACCCAGAGGATGTCATCCACATAATCACATCAACCTGGCCTAACGTGATCACGTCCAAACGTGGTTCCAATCTCAGGATGACTCCAGACGGACTCTGCAGGAAGGTGGGGGAAGGTGGGAGACACAGGAACAGACGACAGGATGGGACGACTTTTTTGGCGGGAGGATTTTTTTGGCGGGAAGATGAGCTGCTGTACAGGGTTGTCTGATTATGACGTCACAGCGGGCAGGCTGGACACCTGACCGCCGGCTCACACAACTACCTGCGGAAAAATAAACAAAAAACAAAAAATAAGATCTTTCAGATTTCCTCAATTTTGAATGCTTACAACTTCTTACAATAAAGGTTGTATCATTAGCTGGAGATCATTAACAGATAAATGGAAACACTGAGAGGCCATTTAAAGATCATCAAAAGACCATTGGGCATCATAAACAGATCATTGAGAATCTGTTGTACAAAAAAGCGAGAAGAAGTTGACCTCTTTGTATTAGCTCAGTAACTAGAACACTTTGTATTAGCCTAGTATAGAACCCTTGTATGTTCATTATGTATGTATGTCTAAGTCAAGTAAGTGTATCTTTTGTCTCCACTTTTCTACATACGTTTGTTATGTGTCTGTTAAGTCTTGACCTGTACCTAGCCCGTCGTGGCATGAATGTACAATAAAGGTCTTTCATCATCATCAATATATCGTCTCGTTCACTTCCAAGAATGTCAAGTTCATCAGAGTAAGTCACCCGGAAAAAGGTAAAAACTAACCGGCAGGCGAGTGCAAAGACACCACATTTGTCAAAACGTCGGATAGATGCCTATCTGTTGGACCTTCTCCAAGCAGATGTTGGGGGGGGGCGAGTTCGTGACATTCTTGCGAAGTTGGCACAGGTTTTTCCGGGGGATTTTCTGTCAGGAAAAATCGGGACAAGTTGGGGGACATCACGCAGGAGTCGCGGCCTTCTGTCCCCCGGCGCCTGTTCGACATTACTTCTTGGACGGGTTTGGCGGAGGATTGTCTCTGTCGGAGAAGGTTTGGCGGGACCTTCTGGCTCTGTGGTTGTGGTATCGTGTAAATTTTACTGTTCTAGTCTCCCCCGGATTCACCCTACATCAGGCCACACCACGGCTACCTGTGGGGCCTCTTTTATAGCCTCTAACAGGCTTCGGCAGGCGGCTGGAAAGAGTAGAAGGTTTGGCGGGACCTTCTGGCTCTGTGGTAGTGATATCATGTAAATCTTACTGTTCTAGTCTGTCCTAGTCTCTCCCACTTCACCCTACCTACATTAGGCCACCCCGCGGCTGTCTGTGGGGCCTCGTTAGCCTCTACCAGGCTTCGGGAAGCGGCTAGAAAGAGTAAAATCGGCTATACTGAGAGATAACATTCCATTTGAGTTGGCCCGCTAGAGAGTACATTTTGCCGAACTACTCTTTATAAATTATGGACAAAAACAATACCTCTCAAGTATACACAATCTAGATATCCGAAAAGCGATCACAAAATTAAGAATTAGTTTTTTTTTTTATTTTTATTTTTTTTTTTTATTCACATGGATTTTTGAGCATTGGATAGGAAGCACTTGTTGTGCTTATGTAAATCCGCTGCTCATAAAAACATAATACAAATGTAAACATAAAGATGACATAAAGTATAGCATTAACATAGTTGTCATAAATTAAACATAGAAATGGGTCGATACAAGAAAATACCAAATGACCAACGGTTCTGTCCATTTTGTCCAAACATGATTGAAAATGAGCACCATTTTATAATGGATTGTACACTATACAATGATAAGCGCCTATTGATGTTCACCTTTCTTTCCGCTTGTTCAATTGATTTCAATACGTTAGATCCTATAGATAAATTCAACTAGATTCTCAGGGGAGATAACCAATACAGTGTTCAAATAGGAAAATACATTAAAGAATGTTTCGATCTTAGAGACCACATGTTAGAGAATAGTTAACCTTTATTGTTGCATCATACATATACTCTGTACGTAAGATGACGTTATCCATACATGTATTTAGCTTTGTTAGATCTTTAGTTAAGTTGTAGAAGACCATACAAAAGTCCCTGTACTTTTTTGTTGTGTCAATAAAGAATCTCTATAATATGGCGGACCAACTTCCCCGGCATGTTATCTATCTCTATTTGGCCAATTTCTACTCTTTCCAGCCTCCTCCCGAAGATTGGAGCCTCCATATTATAGAGATTCTTTATGACCAACGGTTTATGACCAAGTTAGTCCACCACTCTAGCCTGGATGCTAGAATCACAGCACTCTAGGCTCAAAGTTATCCAGTGTGCACACTGGATAACATGATTTAGTTTCATATGAGTGTGTTGTGGGTGTGGCATCGTTTTAATTCTACGTAATGCGTTGTGGCCACTTGGAATTTATCGTAAAGCGTAATCGAGAGGCTTCCGAATTCAGCGTAGAGCGTTGTCGGGACCCCTCTACCAGGCACCGCGGATCGCTGGAAAAATAGTAGAAATTGGCCGAAATAAAACTTAGTAAAAGAATAATGTACCAGGAGAGGTAGCCGGCCAGAGAAGATCCAATTCGCGTGCCTGGTAGAGGCTAGGGACCCCCCTCTGCCAGCCCATGATATTCGCTTTTTAGGCCGATTTCTAATATTTATCAGTCTGCAAAAGGAGTCTGGTGGAGACTAGAAGCTTGTAGACTAACCGGAGAGACCACCAACACTCGTCCCTCCCGACCTCCCACCGACTCCCGCCAGGATATCCATACCGGCTTCCCGGACAGACAGAGATTAGGTTCGGCTGACTCCCCCGGGGGTCTTTTCTCAGCTAGTCCCGGTTAAGGCGAGGGCACGTACGGGATATACACATGCAGAAAACTGTAACTGTATCTGGCTCTTAAAAATCGGACAAAAACTGCAACTGTATCTGAATAGGTATAAACCTCTGGGTATAGCCGGTATAAGCGCCCTTCGGCGTAACACTCGCCTCGACCAGGCTTTGGGAGGCGGCTGAAAAGAGTGAAAATCGGCCAAACAGAGAGATCATAAACATGTTCGGGTGTGGCAAACTGTTTTCTTACCGCAGACAAACTCCCCTGACATGTTATCTCTCTATTTGGCCGAAGCCTGGTAGAGGCTAAACTAAATCTGCCTCTCAAAAATAGGAGGACACACTTTTCGGTCCTTTTGCAGACTTTTCTCCCAGCGATTGAAATCGGTACTGCAGTTTGGTGTCTACTGTCATGCGATCCAATATGGAATTTGTTATGATATCTAAATTTTTTATTACTGTCAACAACTATATAAAGAAATGTGGCTTTTTTTATAGTTTTAAATTTTCACTAGAATCCCATTTGTATTTCACTTTAAGTTCATATCTGTCAGCCTATCTATATTGAAGGCTGGGGCCTTTGAAACCAGCTTGTTCAAATTCAAAGACGAAATGGCCACACAGTGGTCTATCAATGAATTAAGCAATAAATTAGCAGATAACTATGTAATGAAGTCACTTTTAATGACAGAAAGGTCCAGCCAACAGTCGAGTGAAAAAAAAAGATTGTGTAGCGATTTGGGGTTGATCTGATCGAATCGGCTGTTTTTTGTTTAACTTTTTAGAATTATTTTTTTAACTTTCTACTTTTTCTGTTATTCTTTGTATTTAAAAAAAATGTTTTGCCATCCTGGCCTAGACTCTGTAGCAGGCTTATAGAACTGGGGGTTTGGTGGTCTTCGGCTGTTTTCTGATTAGCCTCCGTAGCAGGCTTATAGAACTGGGGGTTTGGTGGTCTTCGGCTGTTTTCTGATTAGCCCAGTTCAAAAAACGGGGGTAATTCAACCAGGCTGGCTATGCTGTATATATGCAATCAGAAAATAGCACAAAAAAGCTCCCAAAGACCCTGAAGACCCCCAAACCCCCAGTTTTTTGGCATGCTGTGGAGGCTAGTCTTGGCCTATCTATAGCATTTGTTTATCTGTAGAATCTTGGCTGTTTCTTTTTCTTCTTCTACCCTTCTTAATTCCTTGAATATTTTTTTTATCTTTTTTTATAATCTTTTTTCTATCTTTCTAAGATTTCTTTTATTCTTTGTACTTTCTTTGTTTTGCCATTGGCCTATCTATAGCATATGTTTATCTATAAAATCTCGGCTGTTTCTTTTTCTTCTTCTCCCCTCAGAAACCGCCCGCGGCGCGTCTTCCTTTCAACCTCCTTCCCGATAATCTTACAAGCTTGTTACGACAAGACTTTATCCTTATCTCAAGGTCAGCACACGGCAGCGGCGGGGATCTTAAACTTGACCTTGGGCCTGGCAGGGAAGACGTTACGGGCGATAAGGAAGGTTCGCGCTGTCGGCGTGAAGGTCAGGCTAAGTTTAGCGCCGCCGGGAGTTTTGGGACTTACTGATAAGAACCCTGCGGAAGTTCATGTGCAGCGGCTAGTGAAAGTGGCGGGAGGTTAGGTTAGAAAGTGAGAGTGGCTGTGGTTGGAAAGTGAAAGTGGCGCCACTGTGAAATTATGTTAGCCTCACAAAACTACATAAGGCCACAGCAATTTAATTTGTTGGTTCTCGGATTTTTTCAGAAAAAAATGTGAAGCGACAGCGAAAAAATGAAGAATAAAAACAGGTCTAGGCATCCTATTATAGCCCCAAATGCAACGGTAGGAGAACCAACAATAATAAATAAAATAAAAAGTGTCGCTACGCTAACGACTGTTCGGTTGGAAGACAGGCTCTGCTACAAAGCTGTACAGAGGAGTCGTGTTAGCTCATTAGGACTGACCAAAAAACAGTTACTCAAACAACTGGAACGTCACGGCTTTCCCTATTGGGCAGTCTGAAGGGCGTTCGCCCGTTTGTCGTCTCTTAGAATTTTAAAATCAAATCTTGTTAAGGCTGATCTTGTTTTACCTCGCACTTTCGCTTTACAATTTTATAGACTTTCATCTCTCTTTTAGCTGCTAAGTTTTTTTTTTAAAAAGAATTGCAAAAGAGCAACCCCGATTAAAAAAAGCCTAAGAACACGCCAAAAATAAGCCCAAACCCAAACCTCTGCTTGGAGAGTACCTCCACCAGGCCCTCTGACAGTGTCAGACTGCGGTTTGCGGCCGCATGCCTGTCTACCACAGTGGCACGAACCCGTCCTTCTGCCGCCCCCCTCACGTGCGGGTTCGGCCCTGTCCCCGGCACCTCGTGTTGACATTTAAACGCCTGGCAGGGAATCAAGCCGAGCTTGTATCGAAGGTTTAGACTTTAGATACGGCGGTTTGGCGAGAAGTACTTAATGTCAAGTTGATAAACACGCGGTTTCAGGGTCGGGGGGTTCTGTGATGATTTCTCTGTCGTCAACGGGATTTTAGTCAACACAGCAAAAAATCATACAAGGAAGTCCTGTTCTGGAAGTAAGAAAGAGAGCCAGGGGACGGAAAAATAGGAGGATGGAATTCATGATGGAAAAGACCATTGCCAGATTTTGAGCATCTTTGAAAGATCACCAAAATGATCCAAAGATCAATGAGAGACCAACGGAAGACCTCACAGAGCACTGAGCGCTAAGTGAAAGACCATAAGTAGCGTTCGTAGTTGTTAGCGACCCTGTCTCTATACCAAGAAGATATCTGCCAGATATCTCTCGGGGGTCTCTCGACGGTCTCTCCTGGTCCCCATGAAATCCCCTGATAATCGTATCAGTCACCGGCCAGTCAAGAGGTGGTCTTCCGACAAGTCCTCTGCTAACGAGTATCGGGCGACCAGCAGTCTCTCGACGGTCTATCGACGGTCTCTCCTCGAGCTCGTCCCTATGAAATCCCCTGATTAACGCATCAGTCCTCAGTAGTGATACCTGAGAGGTCGTCTCCCGGCAAGTCCTCACGAGTCTCTGGCGAGCGGCAGTCTCTCGACGGTCTCTCGCCGGTCTCTCGACGGTCTCTCCTCGTCCCTATGAAATCCCGTGATTAACGCATCAGTCAGTAGCTACACCTGCCACTCCAGAAGTCGTCTCCCGGCAGCGGGGATCCATTAGCGGGGCGAGACGCCGATAACATCAAAGTCGCGGGGTGTCGGCGGCCTCTGATACAGGCGATAAGGCCGCGGTGAGCGCTCCTGGTTCTGATCTCACAATTACCCCGACAATCCGCCGTCATTACGCCGGCTTTACGGACTGACAAGCCTGATCCACGTCAATTTGTCGGACCGGGCAACGTCTGCGAGAAAACTGTCGGTTACATGACGGGAAAGTGATGGTTACATATCGGGTAGCTGCCGGATACATGTCGGGTAACTGCCGGTTACATGCCGGATTCTTGTCCGCTACACATGCCCGCAGGGCGTGAGCTGATTGGGTTGATGATGACATCAACATGAACGGCAAGAAGCCGAACTTAGGTTGTATCCGGGTAGTTTTAGAACCTATGTTTGTACTTTGCATGTTTGTCTGTAGTGCCCGTAACCAGCCCTTTGTTTGTTGGTTTGATGGTTGGTTGGTTGGTTGGTTAGTCTATCAAATTACTAGGCGTTTTGCACCGTAGCGGACTGAACGTGAAGTAGCCCTTCTCTGTTTGTTTGTTTGTTTGCTTGTTTGTTTCTCACCTCAAGCTCTGCACCGTAGCGGACTGAACGTGAAGTAGCCCTTCTCTGTTTGTTTGTTTGTTTGTTTGTCTGTTTGTTTTCTCACCTTAAGCTCTGCACCGTAGCGGCCCTAACCTGAAGTTTGTTTGTTTGTTTGTTTGTTTGTTCTCACCTTAAGCTCTGCACCGTAGCGGCCCTAACGTGAAGTAGCCCTTCTCTGTTTGTTTGTTTGCTTGCTTGTTTGTTTACGTGTTTGTTTGCTTGTTTGTTTGTTCTCACCTTAAGCTCTGCACCGTAGCGGACTGAACGTGAAGTAGCCCTTCTCTGTTTGTTTGTTTGTTTGTTTGTTTGTTTTCTCACCTTAAGCTCTGCACCGTAGCGGTCCTAACCTGAAGTTTGTTTGTTTGTTTGTTTGTTTGTTTCTCACCTTAAGCTCTGCACCGTAGCGGCCCTAACGTGAAGTAGCCCTTCTCTGTTTGCTTGTTGTTTGTTTGTTTGTTTATCTGTTTGTTTGTTCTCACCTTAAGCTCTGCACCGTAGCGGCCCTAACGTGAAGTTTGTTTGTTTGTTTATCTGTTTGTTTGTTCTCACCTTAAGCTCTGCACCGTAGCGGCCCTAACGTCACATTTGTTTGTTTGCTTGTTTGTTTGTTTGTTTGTTTGTTTGTTTGTTTGTTCTCACCTTAAGCTCTGCACCGTAGCGGCCCTAACGTGAAGTAGCCCTTGTTTGTTTGTTTGTTTGTTTGCTTGTTTGCTTGTTTGTTTGTTCTCACCTTAAGCTCTGCACCGTAGCGGCCCTAACGTGAAGTAGCCCTTCTCCGTGGAGCCGCCGCCGTAGTCGCCGGTGTCTCCGAAGTGCAGCCTCGTGACGGGCAGCGCCTCGATGTCGCGGATCATGCCCTCGTCGGACCGCCAGACAAGGTCGTTCTTGTCGCAGTTACACGACTTCTGCCCGCCCGCACAGTTACCTGGGAAATACACAAGGTCATCTCAAGGTCAGAACAAACCGGAAGGTCATGTCACTCTCGTGTTAATAAATAATTTATTCATGGAAAAGTTCAAACCTTTCCAACACAAAGAATCAAGTCCCAAAATTTTCGACAAGATGTCCTGCCTTCGTCATGACGGCTGACCCATTGCTCAGGCAGGACACGTGACTTAACGGGATGGTGACGTCAGAACATGTAACAGCTGCTGAAAACAGTTGAACCCTTTCATACGGTTTGTTATTCTCCAACTCAGATGAACGTCAGTTTTGATCTACACCTGCTATGCCTGTATACACTTATCTATAAAAAAAAGACAAGTGATCCATCCCGATGTGATTGGTTCAAACCTTCCACAGTCTACTCTTATGCAGCTTGTACTTACTGTACAAAACTGGCCTCAAGGCGGTTTACCGGTTATGAGAAACAACCATTTATCGGTGGCACCTCAAGTCAAACGGTAACCGGCAAAGTTCAGACAGATATATATAGAGGGAGAAATGGGCACATGTCGGGGCCCTTCCGGGGGCCTCTACTCCTGTTCACACGGCCTGCGGGCTTGAGCAGCTGATAACGGCAGTCAGAAACAATTTGGACAAACTACAGAAACGAGACAGCCACAGAAAATCAAACATCTCTGTTACACGCTGATCCAGATAACAATTCCTTAAATAGCCTAGCATACAGACGCCACCTGTTACCCCTTATCTATATAGCCATCTGAACTGAAGACGAGAAGTATGTGGACATGTATGTATACAATTCTAAGTCGGTATCTGACCCATGGTAAATGATTTTAATAGAGGATGTAGAATTATACCACAATAAGAGATAGTGCCTTCCTGATTTCTTGTATAATGTGTTTGTTCTTGGGTTTAAAACAAACAACCACCTGTTGGATTTGCACAACTATGAAGAGATATCTGATAGGTGTCGAAAGACACATCCTCAGTGCTATTATCTTTATCTGTCTTTATCTTCGAAAACGAAGCCAAGCCAAGAGAGAACTAGAAGGGTCACAAATTAGTAAGGGTAAGGGGATGGAGTCTGCCATCTATATCTGTAATTATAACAGCCCAGGAACAAAACGCTTTTAGCTGTATGTGTCTTCTGTGATGGGAGGTTCGTTGTATCTAACCTACTAATTTTGGAAAAGGTGGGACATTACGTCTTCCATAGTTAAAAAAGATAAGTTAAACCCCTCAGACATAGTTTTAGACATAGCTATATCTTTAGACAACTACCTTTCATCATGTAGATTTTAGTTATTTTATACTCTGTTACATTGTTCTTTTATGTTTGTAATTTGCAATTAGCCTCCGGGCACGAATTTGCAACAAACTTCTCTATTTATCTTTGTGTTTCTGAATAAAAATTGCGCGCTGCCGGAGGACAGTACAGTCGGCTGTACCATCCCCGCTGGTCCTACTAACCACTTACAGAACAGGGAGCAGAAATCCGAAACCAACACGTAAAACTCGCCCCGGACATCAAAGCAGACGGGCATGTTCGAATTAATCCTCAATAACGGCTTATTTCTCTGACATTTTCCCGCTCTAGTAAGTAAATAAACATAACGAGAGATCAAACACTACCAGGCCGACACCAGGTTGGTAAAACCGTACGGAATAAAACCCTACAACCTTCCCTAACCACAACCCTCCCTCAGGTACCGAGACAAAACTGTAAATATAAACCTGTAAACCCAGAAATTAGCCTGGTCAAATTTCACTGATCCATTAAAGTACCCGACGTTTTGTGCCCTCTGGGCGTCCGTGGGAATGTCTGATATAGATGTCTCCTCGGCAGAGATATACTTTCATTCAAAACAGGGTCCTGAACGGTAAGAAAATATGCTTATGGGTTAATAAGGTCATTGCACTCACTGAAGATGGCTACTGGGAAACAGTAGTGGGTTCAGTATTCCAAGATTTAGTTCTGACCATTAAAAAAAAAAGAAACAACATTTCTTCGTAAATTTTAGCCTTGTTCTGGGAAGGAACTATACGAGAACAAGCGTGACCCCGAAGCATTTACGACATGACCTTGACTTGACCTTGACTTTTAAGTAACACTTCATCACGTCCCGGAATGTTTGACTGTCGAAGGTGCTAAAGGCTACAGGTTCCGCGGCGGTATCGTGTTCAGCAATCCTGATTCAAGACCAAGGGGTCGCGGGATCGAATCCTAGCCAGACAGTCAGTCGGTCGTCTTCTAGAAAGCTGATTTGCGATAGTCTCCACTAGACTCCTTTGCAGGCTGAATAGATAGTAGAAATCGGCCTAAAAAGGAATGTAGCTGGCCTGGGGAGTTAGCCGACCACAGACTGTCCAATTTGTCGTGCAGGCCAGCTACATTCAATTTTCAGGCCGATTTCTACTTTTTTGTTCAGTCTGCAAAGGGGTCTGGTGAAGACTAGATTTTCGCTAGGAGACGAACATGCCCGTCTTTTCGGTAATAGCAGACTGTTGGGGTTCACCTGCAAAGGCAATAACCTTTGGACTACATTACGCACCATTCATATTGTTCTGTTCAAACCACTATAAACAATGGCAGGGGCCTCTTTTGTATACAAGTTAGCTCTGCAGCTTTCACAACTGTGTTTAGGGCACGGTATTGGAGCGTGGAGCCCATCCTACTCCTTCCACTGCCTTTTACCGCGATCCCAACCGAAGTCAGGTACCCATTTTACACCTGGTTGGAGCGAGGAAAGTCGTGTAAAGTGCCTTTTCCAAGGACACAACATCTGCCCAGGAATGCAAGAAATCGAACCATCAATATCTTGGTCAACAACAGAGCGCTCGGCTCGGAGCGTTAACCATGAAGCCCCGATTTCTAATCCTGCCATGCCACCGATCTTGTGCCCTTGGGAAAGGCACTTAACACGACTTTCCTCACCTCACTCAGGTGAAAATGAGTATTGTATTGTCCTGTGTTGGTGGCGGCATGAACATAAGTTGAATGGACTTGAGTGTGCTGTCGCCATGTCTAGTGATCAATGTTGGAATTTGAAAAAAAGAAAAACATCTTAGCCTCGTGCTGCCCTAACCACCTGGCCATTCGATGCCACTCTAGGCAGTCAGTTGGGGCCAAACGAACCCCGGTGGTCGTGTCGACCATCTACCGCGTACCGTTAGTCCGACACTCTAACAAACATGGCGGAGTGCTGAGTGGGTATACTTACTGAAGGGAAATAAACAAGACAAGCACCTGTCTCAACAAGACCCCCTACCCCACCGTCGCCACAATACCACATACGTCCACCTAGCCTCACACATGGTGTTTCCAAAGAAGACGTCAGGAAAAGGGTGTGACTAGGGATTTGTTTTTACTGATAATCTGTTATTCCACGATTTTATCATGTGCGTGTTTTTATATGATAGGAATAGACATGATACTAGTAGCAGGCTGAATGGAGAGGAGGGGCGATGCTATCTGGCTACATGTTCAGTAAAATAAACACCGATCAGTCCTTTCTAAACACAATCCCTCAAACCTGCCACTCAGTTAGCCTCTGTAGCAGGCTTATAGAACTGGGGGTTTGGTGGTCTTCGGCTGTTTTCTGATCAAAAAACGGGGGTAATTCAACCAGGCCGGCTATGTTGTCTATATGCAATCAGGAAATAGCACATAAAAGATCCCAAAGACCCTGAAGACCCCCAGTTTTTGGCATGCTGTGGAGGCTATCACTCCGACCCAGTACAGAAGTAGCATACAGCCACTCAGACTGAGTTATCACTGCAATAGAGCCGGTGTGCACAGGATTCGATGACGATGTCCCACGTTCCCCACACAAATCTAGCACGTCAGCAGGACCGAACCGCGGGTTTTGATGTCGTCATGGTCTTGGAAGGACGAGAAACCACATTTAGGCACAACACACACCAGTTTTGTACAATAAAATGCTGACTGTGTAAAAGACTGGACTGTAAGGTTTGAACCACCCACATCGGGAAGGACCCCTACTCTTTTTTGATACGCTCTAGCCGAGACAACACATACTGAGTCCTCATCAAAAAAACGAAGGACGAACGTCACAACGGTCCTGGATGCACCTGCCACGTCTCCTTTATCCTATATCAAACATTTCACCATAAGCAACAAGAAGTAAAGTTGACAAAAGTTGGCCTAGCGGAACACCTATCCTGGGTTCTCTGCAGTTTGACCCTGTTGGGGCTGTCCAGCAAATCCACGACATTCTTTGCTGCGATGCAAGGTGAGGAGTGAGTGTGGCGGTATTGTATCCAGAACTGCGCCTGTGTATCTACATCTGTGCCTGTCTAGTTCTATGCCTGGGTGGTTTAGGGTAAGGATCAGGTACGATTTTGGATGGTCTCCGCGTATCATAGAAGGTAGATTTGTCCCAGACACGGTTCTGGATATGCGAGCACTATCCAGAACCGTGCTTGAGCAACGTTGGTTCTGGAACGTCCGGTTCTGGCTAAAACAGGTCCGAGAGGCGCATCATAGAAGGTAGGTTTGTCCCAGGCACGGTTCTGGTCTTTTGGATACGCGTGGACTATCCAGAAAAGTTGCCCGAGAATGTTCCTGGTTCTGACTACAACTAGGGGGCGTGAGTGGACCTGGCGTGGTGAAGCTAAGAGGAAACACGTGAAGCCCGCCTGGCCCTAACGCGGCCCCCTGGACTATCCAGAAAAGCTGCCTGAGCACGGTTCTGGATACGCGTAGACTATCCAGAAAATGTAGCTTGAGTATGGTTCTGGATAAAGCACAGTTCTAACGTACAACAGGGGGCGTGAGTGGACCTGGCGTGGAGAAGCTAAGAGGAAACACGTGCAGCCCGGTCCGAATATCCAGAAAAGTTGCCTGAGCATGGATCTGGATACGCGAAGACTATCCAGAACAGTATCTAGAAAAGCTGCCTGAGCAATCTTGGTTCTGGATAAAGCACCAACAGTTCAGTTCTAACTTACAACAGGGGGCGTGAGTGGACCTGGCGTGGAGAAGCTAAGAGGAAACAC